CAAGATTTCATTTAAGGCAATAGACATCCCTGGCAGACAGCGCTCCAAAGGGAGCTGCTCTTCCCTCTCCCTCGTGAGCATCTCTGTGCACAACAGCTTCAGAAACAGCTGGGACAGACATCTCTGGCTGCTTATGCTTTGCAGTGCTCTACGTTTCTAACCCTCCATCAGCAAGTATTGTCTTATCCCTTAGCTTCCACTCATAACAACAATTTCTACTCTTTCTTCCCTAAAATTATATAGTAAGAAGTTTACTAAGGATGCTGACTCTTGTACATACCAAAATCCACAGGCCTACAAGGTCATCTTCAGGTTCAAATTTCACTGCTGAACAGGCATATTACATCACTCAATTCTAAATCACAGGTTGTCAATACACTAGTGTAATTTGTCAAAATGTAATTGGCTTTTTAAACCTGCAATACGGTAAGTTCAAGATGTTTTTAAGAGTCTGATTTTACGTTTATGATTTCCTAAGACATCTTTTGCTTCCCTAGTACAACGATTTGAAAACTTTAGAGAAAATATACTGATCTAGATACACGGTGCCTAACGTTTTAGGCACAAAGGAAAGCAGTTGTCTAAAAGTCATATATGCTGGAACTTGTTCTCCCAAATAAGCCAGGGTACATACGATTAATGTCACTTTTTAATCAGACTTTACTACTGGTACCATTACCCTTTTCTGAAATCTAATAACTTGGAAACAATTTTCAGAACCCTGGACATAAAGGGCATGTATAAAATCACACAATATTCCATTCAATCTTCTTCATATTTACTTCTTAAATGAAAGTCAGTAAGATGAGCATTTATTCAGCTGGTTAGGTTGGGGGTATTGTTTTATGCTTTTAGTTTTTAAGAACTATGTATAACAAAGTGATTACTCAATAAAAACTACTGGATTTTTCAATCGCATGTCCACCAATGCTATTGAAGCTTGAGAGCATCAAATGTAGTATTTCTGAGAAGGGTGTTTTTGGCAACAAAAAAATAGGGAGTTGTAATATTCAAAATAATAGCTATCAGTCATTGTAATGAATAACTGAAGAACTTACAGCTTTCAGTATGTAACTAGACTTCAGCAATCAGTTTCTATGTTAAGAATATTTTCCATTCATTTACATTTTGTTTTTAACGGAATCAGAGATTAGCTATGACATTCTGGGGTCTCCTAAATCAGTTTCTGAGGTCTCAAAAAATCAGTTTCTGAGGTCTCAAAAGTACCTTTTAAGGTCACTTCACCATAGAGACAGCAAAGACTGCAGATTTGAAGCTTGCAATGGATCAGAATTCCCTGCAGATTTGCAAATCACTCTTGCATACCCAGCCCCAGCCCCTGCAGAAACAACACACAGGTCCATGCTGGTACAGCAGGTGCTTCCAAAGTGTCAAACCGTGGGTGTTTGCATTCACTGAAGCAGGGTCTCGTACAGGTTTGTGGATCCTTCTATTGCATTTCAGAACAACGAAAGGGTTTTGCATACTTACGCACTGTCAAGAAAAGAGTCTATGTCCCTTTTGCAACGAATATGTGAAGAATTCTTCATTTGCTCACATTTCTCTCTTACCCTCCCCCTCTCCATCATTTATTAGAACAGACTTAATTCTCCTTCTTTTTTTAGGGAGTCTCCATTGATCCTCATCTTCCAGATACAATAGTGTAAATAAGAGACAGATGCAGACAACAAGCAAGCAAGGAGGATCACATATCAATAAAACAACGTGCTATAAAGAGCCAACATATTCCTTTGGGAAAGGGGAATGCTTTTTGGCATGCATTTGTATAGCATCTAGTTCAATGGAGTCCTTTCCTAGAACATGTTACAGCAAGGGAGATAAGTACTTAGATACCAAGCAAAAAATGCATTTGCATACAAGTTCAAATCCTTCCTGTGCCGGACCCAGAAAGGTCCCCAACTGAGTTTCAGCTTTAGGAACAATTAGATGCCTTGTAGAACTCAAAGTCACAGTGGGTGTCCTCCCGAGGTCAAAATGTTGAGAGGAAACAGCTGTATTCAACTCAGAGCAAGTGGAAGACGACTGACAACCTCAGGTGAAAAAAAGAGACTGGCATCATAGAAAGATGAGGGAGTAAGAGGGGTGAAAGAAAAAAAAAGATCAGAATACAGAAACAAGAGAGATTTAGAATTGCTCAGTGCCATTAGTGCACAGAAATTTGAATTTGATGCCAAGAAGAGAAAGTTGAGAGGTTCAAAGAACAGGGAATGAGAATGAGACATTAAGAGAGATGATCAAATGCCCCCCTGTATCCTAAAGTGTCACTACTGAAATCTTCCCTTCTCCTCACTCACTATTCTTCTACTTACACGTACAAATATTTTTCCTTAACAGACCTCTGACCCCAGTGCCTTTTCTGCTGTGTCTTCCTACAATCCCCAGGAACAGACTCCTACTTCACTATGGTGAAGCTTAGGCTACAAAGCTCTGCTCTTTGACCCTCAGCTGGGACAGAAAACCAGCAGCACGTCCTTCTTCCAGCTGCCAAATTCCAGGAGTTGCTTCTGCTGAGAGCAAGGAGGGAAAATGGCTTGTTATTTCTGTTTCCTTCTCCTTCAGCCCTGTCAGGACAACAGATTGTCCAAGGAAAGAGGAGACCCGATTTCATGCCACGGAACCACACATTTGATCCACATGTGCTTCTTTTGTGGAGATCAAGCCAGCAGATCATGCACCGGGTTGGAAAAGGGGCTCTCAGACAACATGGTGAGCATCCTCCAAATGCAAATGCAAATAGTGCTATTTGTTGTGCACAGCACTGCTAAACACAAGCTATTACTAGGTTTTACTACGTATTACTACGTTACTAACATTAATGCTACAGCCTCGGGCTCAGAACAGGATTATACTAGGATCCTACCGGTTTACGGATTCCTGATCAACTAGCACACTAACTCAGCCTGAAGGACTAATTTATGATTGATAGTTCCTCTTCATTAATATTTGGCTTTGTTAAAATAGTACCCCACAACCACACACAACCACTGGTTCATTACAGCTTGACAACAGTGAAGCAAACCTGAGAAGGGGACATACGACAGCATATATACTGTGATTGTTTTAACTGCATATAGCACATCTGTATACGGCCGCAGACAAGCTTCATTATACCTATAAACAGGCTGTACCACATAAGAGCTGTACTTTTTACTACTACACTTCAAAGCCCAGACTTACCACACATCCCAAAATAAAATGTTTTAGACAGGAGGACATTTGGACACTTACCCTTTAGCCAAACCATTTTGATCATTTATAAGAGCCTAGGCTTCTGACATGTTGGTTAAAACTCTGCTTTGTGGGCCATCCCCATGAGAAAGAGAGATTTTTCATGAGGATCTGATATCAGATGATGGAAAGGCGTGGGCAGTGAGCCTAGCCATCATTCAGCTCTTGAGTTAAAGAACAGGAAATAACCAAATTGAACAACATCCAAAAATAAATAATACAGGTAATAAGTGAATAACTACTGACACTCCATGCCAAAGTCAGTCAAATTATGATTGCTGAACTATGCCTCCATGCTTTAACTGGTACATGTGTTAACAAGAACTGCACTTTTATAGTTCCTGCCATTAAAAATAAATGCATCATTTATTAACGCAGCTAAAAATATTAACCACCTAAAAAGTGTGGTTCAGTAAACTAAACCATCCCATCGGCAACAAGAAAAGTAAGTTTCTGAAACTTTTGCCTAGACAAGGCATTTTTACATTTTTAATGTACATTTATATGTATTTTTTATTAAATGCAAAAAAGCATTAGGTGGAAGGTGACAAGTAGTCTGTGTAGTAGTTTTCTTGGAGTCTGTTCACGTTACTCTGTAAGATGATAAAATTTCTCAACACAAATGCAGTTAGCATCATACAACTCTGCAATCCACAGCTGCCACATCACAAGCCTTTTCAGATCAAGACCTTCACTAGCAATTGTAAGTGCTTAGCAGATTGGATTTTTGTTAGGAGAAGTGAAATCACAGCAGGTTGAGGAAACCCAATCCTAAAAACGTGAAGCGTGCACAATTTCCCACACCATTGGGCTAACCTGCCATAGCGCTGGGCTGCTGACATGACCTTAATGCCAGCTTGTTCAAGTCGTCTTAACTTTCTGATCTCTTCTGCATCTTTCCCCTCGGGTGCTGATGTTTCTTTTGCACTACACGAAGGAGACTGGTCTATGAAGCTTCCTTCGTTTTGATTCAAACCTACTTGATTTTTAAGGGAGCTTGCCTCAGGAGCCTTTTCACACAGTCCTGATGTTTCATTCTGTTCTTCTTCTATGGTTTCAGGGTGGGGTTTGCTATTGAATTATACAAGGTAGTTTAATGTATGCTGTGCCTGAAACATATACACTTATTTATTATAAGCACATTTTGTTGATATCAAGACGTCAAAGGATATTCTGATGAATGATCCGGAAAAATAATTATGCTCTTTAATGGAAGCTGTTTCTTAGGCCAAATCAAAAGTGAAATACCAGTTGACAAAACCAGCATGCAGAAACACATAGTCACAGCTATATAAACTGTACTGGTGTATAGAATACAACATACAAACAAATTGACTTAAAAAAAACCACAGCAAAAATATTACCTATTTTGATTGAATACATCAAACGTTACTTATAAGTATCATTTGTCACTGAGTAACTGTCTTGAGAACTGAGACAGATCATCCAGAACATTTTTGTCCTGCCTTGGGTTTGAGTCAACATCCATGGTACTTATATTAACCAACATCTTGTCAAACACAAGCTATACATTTTATTGTATGGTAAACAATGACATCAAGACAACGATTTTCCACTCATTGCTTTTCTACCACCTTCGCCAATTGCTACAAACAATTTATCAGTACCATCTCGGCAAGAGATTTGCTACAGCAGAAGGCACTTCATACATCTTATGAAAAGAACGAAAATTAGGCAAGTGTTAAAGCATCATGACTGAGGAAGGGAGAAGTTGGACAGGCCAGTATTACCTGAAAGGTCTGTCTCCTAGTGGTGAAGTCGCCGTGCTCCAGCTCTTTCGGTACTCTTCTTGTTCAGCTTTCTTTTTCCGAAGTGGAGCAGGTACATAGAAAGTCTGGTTACTCTTATTAGGGAGGTACTGGTTAAAAGGCACAGCTGATTTAGGTTCACCATGTGAGGTCCGCCTCGCCAACATATCATCTTTTTTCACATCTGGCATCTTTCTGTGTGGCAGGTCAGTTTCCGAGTCACTTCCTCTCCCTAGTGAGGAAGGAGAAAAAAATCCCTCTTCTTTCCACTTTCATCCAGGTTTTTTTTTTTTTTAAATTATAAATCAGAGAAGAGACTACCAAAAAATTACATTTAGCATGTGAGCACCAAAAAATGAGGCCATTTTTACCTGTATTTATATTTTAAAATCAGTCACTGAAGGTAGTAGCCATAATATCTACACAGACAGTAAACATTTTTTTCCATCAACCCTTATTTTCTACCCCTGAAAAACTCATCTTCAGCCACAAGTCACATCAAAAAACTCAGGGTCAGATTAAGCCAGACTTGTCAACCACACAGGACAGCTACAGAAGCTTACCTGACTAAAGCCCAAATGACTCCCAGTTGTACATATGGGTGCGTTTGACCTGATTCACACTCTTGAACCTACATATGCATAGCACAAGCTCAAGCAAAGAAGGGCTGCATGCTGTATATTTACAGAATGGCAGGAATCTTCTAATTCTTCAAATTCTAACAACAATTTGAATGCACACAGCATCAGCTTTGATCAAAATCTGAGAATAAACATCAGCTGCTATAAACCAGAAGACTCAGATGGTCTTTCTCCAGTCTCATCAGTTGCCTGGTCAATCAGTCTAGCACACTGCAAAACAGAGAGACTTGATCCTCAGATGGGAAGGTGTAAGGAGAGAGGGAAAGGATCTCAGGATTTAGAAGTTAGATAAGTACAGCAAAGACTGAAGAATACTTACTGGCAAAGAAAAGAAATAAGGTGAGAGAGAAAAATTGAGAGTTACAGAGAATAAGATGGGAGATCAACAGAGCTGAGTGACTACTTTATTTTGTTCAAACAAACTAAGCCTCCTGATATTTACAACACGTTTAAAACACAGAAACTTAGGCAAGACTTTTCCAACTCCAAAAGAAAACTCCCAAATGGTAGGACAAATACCTGCATTTGCAGTGGAACTGCCCTCGTAGCCATTTTGGAAGCCACTTCATAGACATTCACTAGATTCCCTGCACCATCATGAGCCTTTTTAAGTAATTCACAAAGAAGCTATATAAATAGTTCTCTCCCAGCAGTGTAACATCACCACAGCCCCTGGTTTGATGAGTGAAATGGAGCATATTCAGCCATTTCTCCCGCCAGCATTCAAATCTTCTCCCAGCTTTAGAGCGTTGGATGTCTCTGGCCCTTGGCCCCTTTGCAACACTTGCATATGCAATAGCTGTTCCCCTCTTTGGGGTGAGGGGAAGCCACCCAGGTTGTGTCCTCTTGCTAATTCACCATGCTAGTAAATTACTAGCTAATTCACTGAGCTACCTAACGAACAACTGAAAACAATGAAGTCATAAAAATCACAAGTAGCTTGTGTATAATTCAAAGTGGGGGAAGGAAAAGAGGTCTAAGTATGCTAGGAATGTTATTTGCAAAGAGCTTTTGCAGCAGATTGAGTTATTCAATGTTTGCTTGGAGAGAGATGAAGAAGAGTGAAAGGGAACAGTAAGAAAAGACAAGACACAATGGAAATGAGCTAGTTAGGCAAAAATCACCATGTACTTTTTGCCAGTAATCTTTTGCTTGAACAATTTTGGTTAAGAGCATATGATAACTAGCACCATGATTGGTAACCTCAGTCTATGTCTAAACAAAAAGTGAAGACACAACCACAGAATCACGGGTGTCTGAGGATAGCTGAGGTTTGAAGAGCTGTAGTATCATGAGCTGAGCAGGGCCACAGGGGAGCTAAAAGAAAATGAAAAGATCCCTTACTGTTATTTGCTATTCTGTTTGCTCTTGACTTTGTTCTGGTGTTTATTTTTGTATCACATGAAAACCAGTCTTGAACGGGCAAACAGAAATGCTGGAATAGAAAACCACAGTAGCAGAGGAATTAGAACAGATTCCTCTCCCTCATTACTGATGTGCCTACCAGCATCCCCAAGTTGAGTACTTCAAAGACAAACAGCTTCTTTAATTATTCGTATTTTACTTGTGAAATTATTTTCAGCTCAAATTTGCAAAAAAAGCACTTGAAGCCAAAGCACCGTATGGAAGATGCAGCCGTGCTCTACATTGATAACCTTAACTTTGTTGTTCTGCATTTCCAACTAGAAGAAGCAGCAGCCAGTTTCCACAGCCCGTAAGAAGCAGTTATATACCACAGACACGCACAGATCCTTCATAGAAGGATCCATGCACAACTGCTGGCCAAGCAGAGGATTTTAGTCATTCCTGAGTAAATGAGCAACTCTATGGGCAGGCCAGTCTGCAATTCTACTGTGTTTTAAACAAACTGTTCTGCCCTACCACTGGTTTTGTTTGCTTTTTGCCAAGGAACAGGGTCCGCATAGGACACCAGAGCAAGTCCTAAACAGTGGGGCTAACCACAGATGGCATTTGTGAAGGTAGTATTACTTATTGCTTCTACCTAAACTAATCATCACCTTAGGATCACTTAAATGATCTCCATTCCTTAATTTTTTTTTCTAGGAGTGGAAGGAATCATAGTTTTATTTCGCTATCATATTATTGGGTTTATAAAGCTCCTATCTGAAAGGAAAGAGAAGTAATGCAAGCAGAACCTTTTCCTCCATCCAGCTTTGCATATACATTATTTCTATCAAAAACTACATGCAGTTGAGTGAAACACTGGCCTGCTGGGGCCACAGGAAGAGATTCAAGAGAAAAGAGGTCAGCCAAGCTACACCTCACCTGCAACTCTTGGAGAAGACAGCTGTGAAGTTATGGCAGCAGCAAGCAGGGAAAATGGGATGTATTAGAAAGGGCTGGCTGGACAAGTCATACGTGTGCACACAGCATCTGCATGCACCCTAGGTCTGGATATTGTTAAAGACTAATTTTTAAGAACAAGCTTTGCATGCTTGCATCTTATTTTGTGTTTGTTATGGACTCAAGAATGTGACAAGATAGTATGTCTTAGCTGCGGCAAACAAGCAATCACAAAACCTTACCAAAATTTGCTAATACAGCAGAAGTTGATAGGAAGTAGCTACAGGACATATGTAACTGGCTGCCCACCTGCTCCAAGTAGGCAGGACACTCCTTGAGCACCCAGGATGGAGCAACACTTCTTGATTAGGACATGTGAGGTGTTCCCGTTTGCCAACACCACACTTCTGTCTCATTTGGGAAGGCAGAAAAATGTTTTGCAATGTGGAGACTGTGCTCTGTTCAGTGTCTGAGGGGGCATGAGGCTGTTTCAGGGAATCAGCCCCAGTAGCTGGTTCTGGATGGTCAACCACAGGCCACTCAAAACAGCAGAGCAGATCTCAGCCCTGCTTTCCCCGCAACTCTTTCATAATTCAGCTGTGATACCAGCGCTCCCTGCCAGCTTTTCAGTTTTAAGGAGTTCCCCATCACCTCAGGAAATCTCTCATGTATCCGGTTATGATTAGCACCAGTTTCTTTCACACTGCCAAAAGCAGTATGAACATCTGGTTCCTACCAAAAAGTCTTTCTGCCCTTCTTTTTTTTATTAAATAAATAACATTACTAAGGAGAAGTGATTCATGTGTGGAATGTAACTTCATCTGATGGTGAAGTTTGACTGATTCATCCATTCATCGGGAATGTAACCATGCAGAGGGAGCCTCAGTCAAGCATCCTTCTCTTCTGAACCAGAATCCTGCTCATGACAGGTAACCCAAGTGCATGCTCCACACCTACCCCTAGCAAATCCTTCCTCATCCAGCACACAGTGTTTACAAGCCTCTGGAAGCCTCTGGGAATCAGACAAGAAAGGCAGAGAAGCAGCACACCTTCTGTAAGTCTAGAGCTGCGTGTCCTCACTCAAAGGTGTGCAAAGATGGCCTCGGCTCTGATGCTGGGAGCTATTAATTTACCCAATTTTCTAAATATCATGAAAACAAATATGACATTTGGTAAAATGTTGTACATCAGACTTCAGAACTCTGTCAAGTATCAGACATTTCCAAGATATTTCTATGTCATTTATCTGCCCAGGGTTTACTTAGGCAAACATTTTATTCACTTCAATATTTCCCTTGTTCCTGCGCTTTTATTTCTTGCTCCAGCCTAGCTTATAACTTAAAATGAGTCTGCATAACACCCTTTTACACCGTAACCCAGAAAAGCACTCTTCCCATCATAAAATTACACTGCAATGATGTAACTCATTTTCCAATGTTACGCTATCCTAACTGAGACAGACTTCAAGTAAGTTGTTGGCAAAGTCATCTAAACCTCAGGCAGCACAAATCAGCATTCACAGAGAAGCTCTCCCACTGGATTGCCACGATTCAGAGGCTGTGTCCAGCTTCCGAATGGCACATTTGCTCCAGAAATGTTACTTATATGTCACAACGTTACGCACGTGCCACACTGTGACCAGTACTTACCATCACTGCTCCCTCTGAGCACTACATCTGGAGACGGTGTCTGCTGCGAGCGGGAGCCAAAGGAGTCCAGACTGTCAAAGGAATCATCTCTGCCGTGGCGAGGCGGGGAGAGGGAATCGCTGCGTTCAGAGTCCCAGCAGTCTATATAGCCGCTGTCACGAATGCTGCGCTTTGGGCTCTCAATATCCTCCGTTTCCTACATGGAAGTACAGCAGGTACCTCTTCATAAAGAAGCCACTGACATACCCGTGAGATCCATTACACATCAGACAACAAAGCATCTTCCCAAATACTAAAAATCTCCTCCCCAAAAAAGGGTTTCCTTGTTTTCTACCCCTTCTCCCCTTCAAAACAAAAGTGCGAGCTTGCAATAAACCCCAATTCTATGCTGATTAGGAGGAAACTCCGCTCATTAGATTAGTAGGATGAACTGAGAAAAAGTTGCAATAGGCAAGTTAATAAACAGATCAAAACTGAAAGTAACCTGAAACTTGATTTGTCGTCCATAGTCCATAGCACAGGCAAAGGCACTACAATTTTAACATCGTGCCTGTATCAGGTTTAAGTCTGCTGCTTTCCAAAAGATCCCCCCCGCCTCCCCTTGCCCATCTATTGTATCTGGCTGGGACACCAGCAGACAGCATTTGTTGTTGCTGCTTCAGCTCAGCAAAATAATGAAGCAGTGTGCCCCAGCCTCCCTCTACCTTGAAGAGAAATTCCTGTTATGAAAGAGGGATGTCTTTCTGAAGCAATCAGCAATGAAAAATATGCAAAATGCTTTTCCTGATGCCTCAGAAGAATTCAGTTGTGCTCTTTACTCTTTGCCAGCTCCTGGCTCTGGGGGATATGAAAGCACTTGTAGCTGACCCACATGTTCAGAGCAGGGAGAACAATGGTTGTCTTTGACAGCCCTGTGATTATAAATTCTTTCCAGTGCAAGCAGCACATACTAAAACACTGAAACTCCAGCAGAGGAAAAGGTCAATAGAAGCCATCCTCACCCTTGCATTATAATAAATCCCTTGTTTTAGAGAGCGTCTTAACATTAATTACAATTGCACAGGCTGAGAAAAAACAAAAATAACTACTTTTATGCAAAGATAAATCTGTTTTTTTCTCCCCCGACAGTAAGTAAAGTCAGAGATGTGGGTGCCATTATCAGACTCACATTTTGTGACCCAAAGAGGCTGGAATGTGAATTTTTTTTTTCTTTTTTTTCCCCCACAAGCATTTGAATATTAATTCCTAATTAAGAAGCACCCCCTGCTTACCACTAGCTGGAGCACAATGGCTATGTTGAGCACAGCTCCCACTGTCCTTGACTGCTAAGCTTTTACCCATTACTAGTATCACCAATGAGAAGATAATCAAGAACGTCACAGTACGCTATGGTGGGCCACCCTCCACAAGAAAGCGGGTTTGCTGCAGAACTGATGGAGGGAGGAGAACGCTGCAATAACACACCAAAGCTCGTGCACTGAAAAAGAGGGAGGCTCAAAGCGAGACGGAGAGATCAGACCCAACGTCCTGCAGACTTTTCAGGAAGAAGGCTTAATTAGTGCCACTCACTGTTACGCTGCCAAAATAGCACATTAAGGGCAGCGGCAAAGGTCCCCTAAGGCCAAGCGAAACTGTGGTAATGTCAATAAGTAATCTCACTGCAAATTGAAGTGAAAGTATTTTCTAAAAACAAATAAAATTCATCTAACAAAGTAATAATTGGATCCTATGTAATTTCCTTCCCCAGTCTCACTTAGTGAACTAAAATACTAGTAGAAACACTAGACAACAAAGATCTGTCTCCCTGAAATCTGCATGACTTACACACATCCAAAAACAAATCTAAAAATCCTACCAAAATCCGGTTTGCGACACGATCCAAAAATCTTTTTAAAAATCCAAATTCCCTAAATCCCTTCATACCAATCAGCTATTCTCAATCCTCAGGCACACTTCCATTTTCCTAAATTACTGTGTTTGAATGACACAGAACTGCTCAGCAGATACAGCGACTTAAACTCAGGCAATAAGCCCCATCCTGCATTCACTATCTCCCAGAGTTTGAAAACAGTCCAATTGTGAACTAATGAGTTCTGCAGACCCTACTTTCAAAGGCCTGTTGACGTTAATTTTGCATGCCGCACACCAGGAATTAAGAGGCAGGCACCAGGATGGGATCCTAGACTTCTGTAAACATGTTCTTTACAGCCTTCCCCTTGGCAAAGCTACTCTCCCAGCCCAACGCCGTCTCACAGACGGGTACTTGTCCTGCTCTGGGCAAACGTCATCTCCCAAATGTTATCAATGGGAAAAAGAAAGTGGTTATCTGCGGGACTGATAACACCGTAACATGACACACAACAGCACATTAGTCTTTCATATTATCTAATTAAAAACACAGTATGTCACCGAGTGGTAGTAAAAGTGTGATTGCCAAATATAAGATGTCTTTCTCCAGGAAGTTCCACCCACTAAATATAATCAAAAAGCCATGGACATTTTGTCACTGGGAATTTCTAGTTTAAAAGTAAAAGAGAATGCGTATCCAAATAGTTAATGAAATTAAAAACAGAGTAGCATGAACAAAATTAGAAATGAATAGCCCTTTCAGTATGAGAAGTAGAAAAAGATGAGTCCGAGACAACTTACATCTGAGCTGTCTTTTGATTTGCTTATTAAAAAAGGAGGGCAGAGAGGATTTATAACAAAAAAACTCAACCAGACTGAATTTATGGTCGATTTAATTATTAAATTCAGTGGAAAAAATGCCAGTAGAGAATGTGATAAAGTGTCTTTTCATCACTCGAGCTCAGCTATAAAGAACATCAGTGTGTTGCACAGCATGATTAACATGTTCTATTTTACAACCAAATCCTCTTCAAATTCAGTAACAGACAAGCCCACAACTGCCAGTGGGAAATACTGCAGGGGTACAGGAGTAGGGAGGTGACCTTAAGATAAGATGCTAGCGGCCCTCGTAACAGTATCACCTAAACAAGACTTTTCAGGACTGCGAAGTGCTCTGTTTTTACATTAAAGGAATATATAGCTTTCAGTTTTTATGAGATCTCTACTCTGCTCCCAGCTCTGACATCTGCAATGAATCAAGTCCCAGCCTCTTGCTTTTGTCCTTGACCTGCAGCGCTCTGCGCTGCCCAGCCAGGCGTCCATGATCATCAGCTCCCCAGAGAACGCTGCCTTTCGGCCCCAGCCTACTTCATCCCTCAGGGGCTCAAGATGGGACCTCCAAAATGCTCTGATGATTAGTTTGATGGGTAGATATCACCTGGAAAAAGAGGAGCCTCATGCTGCAAGATTGAACATTAAAAAATAAACCATGATACCATGCCGCACTAACATTATAACAACCTGCACTTTGGCAATTTTTCTGCATTAGCTCCTTGTCCGTCTTTGTTACACCTTTCAGACTCTTTGGAGTGGGGACTGCTCCTTCCCTGCACCTTCTATCTGGAAACAACTCAAATATTAACTTCATTTCTTTATTGCTTGGTCTCAGTCATATCACTCATAAGTGGCAAAGTCCCGAGCAACTAGTGCAGGTCATTTCAAATGAAGCCCAAAATAAGCCTCTACAGAGAAGCAGGATGTTCTCTTTTCCTCTCCATTTCCACCTGCATGTTCACGGGAACTGGGCTCACAAAAGGGATTTTAACCGTCTAGTTAAGGCTCTCTGGTCACACTAGGGTGTAGGAACTGCTATCAGTCAGCCAAGTATTTCTTCCTCTCCGGTGGCAATCCGGTGCTGGCCCTCTGAGATCCCAGAATGAAGAGCTGCAGCTGGTGCAGATGCAGTAGCACAGAGCTCAAGGAGAGTAAAGAGCAAAGAGTCTCCCATGGTCCCCAAACCCTACTGCCTGTGGTGACTTGGCCGTTACACGAGATGGCGAGGGAGTAGCAGGCACGAAGCTCTCTGTGGGCTGTAGAACATATCTGCATGGCCTTTCATGAGCAATATGTCCAACACATGCAGTGGTAGCACTGGTTGCTGCCATCTTCTTACATGCCTGCTCCTTGCCCCTTCCATTCCCAGTAAATGCATGCTTGGATATCAACGCTAACCATTACTGAGGTTAAGTGTCTCATGGAGGTTCAGGACATGCTGGAGCGCTCAACCAAAAGTCCCCAAACCACCCTACAGCAATCACAACTTTTCCTTTCCAACAGAGCTCAGCTCATCATAAACCACCATTTCAGCCAGAATTTAGAGCTTGGCAAAACACAGATTCATCATAACTACACCCTTGGTGAAACATAATCTCCTCCTTCTACCCCTCAGCTTTATTTAGACACTTTGGTTTGATGCTTTATGTTGCAACTTAAAAACAAAAGAGCTACCCATGAGACTGAATGTTTTAAAGAAGAAAAATCTCTGAGTCCTGCCACCTTACTTCTGAGTCTCAGCTCTTCTAGCTGAAACTCTGTGTCATAAATGAAAATAATTCAAACCAAAACCTATGGAAATGAAGATGACAGAGCCACGTGACAATTCTAAAGCCCTGTTTGACATGACGTGCTGCATCATTGATATCACCGCAAAGCCAGCTGCCAAAGACAGTTGTGTTCATGGCTTGGTAGAGTCAGAAACATTTTCGAAGGAGGTAGGGGCTTACTAAGTAATTTGTATGCCAGCCCCCTACTTCTCTTATATTTAGCAACAAACAGGTTATTTGTGGGAGTAATAATTCGAATGAAATTTCCATTCCCAAAACATAACAAAAAGATACCTTTCTCATTTGTGCCAGCAAACCTTCAAACTCCTTCAGGTTCAGGGTTGATCCGCTATATGACGTGCAGCTGTTTGCCGCTTTCCCTAGCCAATAAATGGTGACTAATACCTGCAGAAGTTAATAAGAATTAATTGAAGCCATCTACACAGTCACTTAGCTAAATTTACTTCCCTTCAGCGTCTCTCATTTATTCTAAACTGCACAGCAGCACAAGATTTTGTTATAAATCAGAGCTGAAAGGGAAGTGTCTGTCAGTGGTTAAACATAAATACATCGGGCAACTATCAAAATTTAAACAGTCCTACAGAATATATAACTTAACACATTATCTTCCTGGTATTTTTATAAAAAAAGAAACTGCCATGTCTGCCTGGAAAACAAACAGCAAAAATAAATCTGAATAGAAAAATTAGGCAAGATACTTTAAACTGTCTAGAAGACACACTTATAAATATATCTGTTTGTAAATCCAAAAGGGAAAAAATCCCTAAAGAGTACTAATACTAGTGGTCATTAATTAAAACCGTTATGACTAATGGAATAAATAAAAAACTGAAATGTGTGCCTGCCTACTTCAAGGACAGAAAATGTAGTTCCATTTTTAATCATCTTAATGTAATTAACCAGATGACACAGGAACATTTACTTCCAGGCTTCTGCTAGCTTAAGAAATGCTTAGCCCAAGATTAATCAAACGCCATGAGCATCTGGTTGTTTCTATCAGACTAAAGCGGAAAGAGTTAGTGGTTTCATTCAAGTTCTGACTTGAAGTCTCTCCATAACTCAAAAGTAACTTCAAAATTAGTGTGGAAAAAAAAGCCAAGAATTGCTCTTGCAAATGTTTATATACCCTCTCACTCCTTTAGGTAGCAAAGAAATCTGATCTGACACTGCTGGTGCTGCGCTTTTTTTAGGAAAGGAGAAATTACGATGCTCAGGATGGTCAAATCCAACACCTCCAAAACCGCTGATATTTATATCATGCAGCGAAAGCAAACAGTCCTGCTCTGCACTCACATATGTCTCCACTTAAAGCAATGTCTTTAATGGTACCTGTGCAGCAGCAATTTGGACTGGAAACTGATCGTCAAAGGCAATTCAGTTCAGTGTTTTGCACTGGTTAAAAATGCCAAACCATCACCTCAGAACTTAGGGCTTTTTCTCATTTAATGCTCCTTATTTCTGCATATTCTGTGACATTGCAAAGTAACTGCAGAACAAATAGGAAATATTTTGATGGGGAAAAGATGTGTGACCAATAATAAATAATAGTTGCCATTAACTGTCTCAAAGAAGTTAAATAAACTGAAATATAGTATTTTATGTTTTGATGGGACAGGGCTATATAATTCCTACTATATAGTGAAAATAGGACTAGGAGAAAATAGGACTAGGAGAAATCCCAAGGGGGTGTTGGAGACAGACATCTCATTAACTTTCTCTAACATCCCCATTTTTCATTGAAGTGTGATGTCCAAAATCACACACAGCACTCCAGATGAGGCCCTGCCAGAAAAAGATACAGCATGTGTCCTACAGATCCCCTGTTTAAAAACAACTGTGGTACATAATGTAAAATGTATTATATTTTATATATAAATACAGTTTATATTTCCCTTTAGTTTTTAAACAATATACATGCCATGAAATAACCAAATAACATTTTTAATAAAGTTCAGAAATTTTCCTCTTGTTTTTAAAATTACATCCAAATTGATACTACTGTGCTGAGGGAAAGGAGGTGGTTTCACCAATACTGATTTTTTTTGACTTGAAACAACCTTTATCTGAGCTGTTTTCCTTCAACCAGCACTACTCAACAAATTTATGTAAAAAATTCTTACAGTGCATGTTCTCAAGTTAAGTGAAAACACTTGCAAATATAGTATTCCTAGAAACCAGGAAACTGTCCAATTCATTTTGCCATTCAGTCCTCTGATGAAGGTTGTGGTATTTTTATTTATTTCTGCTAGCATTTGACAACTTTTTCTCTTCTTCCTTTCTTTATCCACTTTTTTTTTTCCCCAAATAATGTCACATTTGCAAGCAATTCCGACTGGCTGCCAGCCGAGGTTGCAGGATCATGCACCTGGAAAGCATATATTGTGTACAAGCACATTGTGGAGGATACTTTTGAAACTTTACCTTTAAAACAATACATCTGTACAAAGATATTTAGCCAGTGCCCACAAGGGCGCTAAAATGTCAAAGCTGAACTCCTCCCCTGCAACTTTGTGTGCTGGATGCAGAAAATATTACTCTAATGATGATGGTAAAGACAGGATGAAATAATTTGAGGGGTTTCTTATGGTTTTGGGGTTTTTATTTATTTGTTTTTACCTGCAGTCATGATTACTGGCTTGCAAAGTTATTAGGAAAAGGTCTTGGCATTTCTTAGCAGTTTATAGGGATGTGAGCCAAATATAAAATGAATTTATAGCAGTTTACAGCTGACTAAGGACAGACAGCTTGCTAGGCTTTAGGATAATAACTAACTCTGAGATCAGCAAAGTTTAGCCATTTTCTTTTCTACTAAACAATTACAGGATTCATTATCATTGCTATTAGTTTAAATCAACAAGAAATTAAAGCTAAATGGAATTAGCCTTTCTGGGAAAACACTGATTTATTTGGAAGAACAACAAGAAAGCTAGCAAATGTGACAGCAAAGACTTGCATCCAGATCTAATGATCATTTTGCTTCATTTTAAATACTTTGTGCAAATTTACTTTATGCTTATATATTCGTGAAAGGGTACAAAAGCGTAGCTTCATGGGTGAGTCAGACCATTCCCAGTGAAAAACACGATAAACATGATGGACAGCACAGAGATCACATTCTTTATCCTTTAATTAAGCAGAAACAAACATTCTCCATTACATTTCTATCATAAGGCTGCTTTGCCATAGCAGCTCTACTGAAATTTGCAGCAGAACCTGGTTAGGTTTGTGTTCAGAAGAACTTTTCAGCGATACTCATCTGTACTAAGTTTTTACTGACATAATTCTTGCTCAGGCTAAATACAGGATTAATCAGACAAAGAAAAAAAAAATACTCCAAGTCATGTACTTACATTTTTCAGCTTCCTACTATAGTCAATGTTCCTGGTCGCACACACACAGAGAGGAAAAAAAAAGAGGAAAACATCATAATCAGAAAGCAGACACACTTTCCAAGAGCGTGTATGCAGCAGATCACGTTTTCCCTTACAAAAGCCTGCAGAACGCTTCTGCTGGCTGGAAACACATGAAAGCTAAGAAGATGTAGTTCACACATTAATTTATTCATAATGTGGGAGTATTTTGTCACCATTACTTCAATCATTAAATTAGAATTCTGGAAGTAGAAAAAGAAAATGTGTTTATAATGGTCGCACAGTAAAATGGGACAGTGCCAAAAATATTTCCTTTAAACAGTGTTGCTGATTTCTTCAAAAAAGACAACCAAAGTCCTCACTGCTGAAATGCGTTCTGCAGCAATCCAACAGTCAGATCCTGCTCTGTGATAAATCATGCAACCCATACAGATTCTGGAAGCAACTGAACATGCATAAGAGACTGAGGAAATCATCACCAAACATTAAGGAAATGGAGCAGGTGCTTCTGTGGAAACAAGCATCACAAAGAACAAAGTAGATGGGTGAAGCAACAAAGATCCTGCCACTTGCAACAGTACCTGCTGTGGAAAGCGTATTTATTTTTTGAATGTATACTCAGACTGAACTTTCTGGCATCCTTCTCAATTTAGTTTTTCACCAACGTTCAAAGGGTAGAAGTTTTATGTTAGAAACAACAACGCACAAAGTTTGCACAAACATAAACAACATTTCAAAATTCGGTGAAGAAACCATTAAAATAAAGAATGGAGGAAATGTGTATCACATTTAGGTGCTGAGAAATAAATCAGAGCACTTCAGATTTAGTACAGATTGTCTCCTGATTATTTATAACGGAATTGCCTTCTACTGTAACAGTAAGTTCACTCCAGCATTAAAGGTTACCTGATAAAAATAAATGTACTTCAATCTGTGAGAACAACAAAAGCCTAAATATAGGCAATACTAAACCAAAGTATTTTTGATAATATCTTTTTTAAGCCAAAATTTTATCCACCAGTACCCACATACTAAGAAAAATAAAACAGTCCTATTTTTTTTCCTAATAAAATAACAGTGGAAAAGAGTCTTGTTTAACAAGTCAAGAAGAAATTCTTTACAGCATTAGCTCATAACTTTTATAAGCTGAATGTTCCAAAAAAAATAGACCTAATTCATACTTCAATTAACATCTATATGAAAAAAACCTGCTTAAAATGTCATTATCTTAATCATGTGCAATAATGTCATATTAATCCTTTACCAACAAATACCATTTTTACCATGTTTAAAAAATAACCCAGAAGTCTTCAAAGGGTGGGGTGGGGGGAAATCACCTTCATGCTTTGGGAACTAGCTAGCAGAAGACAGTCTTGAACATATTTCTCTACAACAGTCATGGACTTGGCTTGTACACCTCAACTCAGTTACTCAGCGTGAACTTGGACAGTGCTAGGAAAACATTTGGCTCATTTCCACAGCTGCTTTCTCTGAAGGGTTGACGGGGAAAAAAAATCGATGCCAGTGAGACACTTCACATCTGTCTAGCATCATATTCAGTGGAGGGCCAACCCAGCTCCATAGAGTTTATTACTCCTGGTTTAACTTGCTTACGTGCTGGACAGCTCTCCCTGGAGCTCCATGCTAGCCCCAGCCTCTCAACCTGCGTCCTCCAAGGTACTCCACCATCCTCAACCCCAAAAGATCAAGCTTCTTATCAGAAAGACCCTTCCCCTCTGGTTTTATATGGAGATTAGGGTTTTATATGGAGATTAGGGATTGTTTTGCGACTCCCTCCAGCCACTCATTGTCATGATTATACAGGATGTCATGAAGAACCTCTTTCATTGCAGTATTACCAGATTTAGAAGAAATAGGTTAAATAGCCCCCTCTCACCGGTATGTACAGGCGAGAAGAACCTCATATTAAAGCCAGAAACTTGGAAGGGAGCAAAAAATGGAAGACTATTCCTTAAAACAAGGAAAGTGGCCAATTCAATTTTTCAGAACCTTTGAATTTTCACAGACAGTGCTTGAACACCATGAAAACTTGCCCAGCTTCCACTGCCAGAAGGGAAAAAAAATAGAACGCTGCTGAAATTTAGTAAATTGTTTCCATATACTTTTCTAAAATGGGTATGTCTGACCAGGATTTCATTAGTGATCTTTTTGGCCAAATCTTTTTGGCCAAATGAAACAAGGCCATTCAATCAACTCAGCACTATTTGCTTGTCTGTAGAGCAATAACTTTTTAATATTACACATGATAGACCCAAAAATTTCAGGAAAACTTCTAAATAACACCAATTACAAATTTTTTTTAATTAATAATGGAAGTGTGGGGTGCTCTTGCTTTTGGGGGGTGGGGAACTTGATTGCCATTAATATAAATGAGAGAAAAATACAGTTTGACTGCCTCTGTTCTTCTAGTCCATGATGACAGAGTCTTCCCTGAAAGGGACAACAGTTCTTATTTAAGACCTCAATCTATGACTATATGGACTTTGATTCAAGCCTGCTCTGTGTGACCTTAGGCAAGTCAGTAATTATTTCTGTGCCAGTTTCACATCTACATTTTAAATCACTTTGTGGGGTGAAATGCTGAAAATACAAGCATTGGAGTCTAAGCACCTAGTACTCTTCGCAGTGAAGGATGTGCACGTACCGTGGCTAAAAAGTTGTTGATTAAAAGGAGATTTTTTAAAAAATCACCTCATCCCCCCAAAAAACATGAATTAGTTATTAGGAAGGAGAACCTCCTTATATGCGTGTGGTAATTTGTGTGGTAGTAGGTGTCTGGCTTTGGTGAAAGAGCACCTAAACTGTGGCATTTCCAGTCCACACAGTCACACAGACATCCTCAGCTCAAATATCATATCCCAACCTGTAGTTCTTGTTAGAAAATAAACAGACCGTGCTCATGTCTGCACCTTGTAGAGTCTGAGAGGCCTATAAATGTCCTACAATGCATCTTCAAACAGTTTAATCTGAAATAACAGAGCTGTGATTTTTTTTTTCCCCAGCCTATATAGTTCATTAGTTGGACAGACAAAAAAGAATGCCATCAATTTAGACTCAGGAAAACCCCTAAGTCCCACAGAATCTCATTGCTTAACTGAAACAGTACTTTAAAAGAGCTGTGGTTGATCTCTCTGGAAAAAATAACAGCCCTTAGAGAATCCTTGTTGAAGGGAACAATGTATTCTTCCCAATGCTGAAGGTTTCCCAAATCTCAGTTTCCTATTTGCTTTATACAAATGACAATTCTATAGCCTTTTTGCTCATCCTTAAATATTTACTATTGCATCACGTGCATCTGAGGTTGTAACACGCTAATCGCAAACTGCTGTTGTACTTACTTGATGGTTACTCTGTTTGATGTGTCCTGCAGATCACCAGGATCAAAAAGCTGGGATTCTTTAAGTCCCAGCTCTTTGCAGCCTCTTAAGAATAAGATGATATTATCCTGAAACGAGGCAAAAAAAAAAACTTTTAAGTCTTCTCCATTGAAAAAAATAATCCTACTGAACCAACCTCTCCCTGACTCAGTAACAGCTCACAAAGAGTTGTATCATTAGTTAAATGAAGAACCAAAGACGTTTCCACTCACATAATTTAAGAAGTCAGTACATGTTTTGTTTGAAAACCAGATAAATATGAAACAAGACTTTTTTTTTTTTTAATTTTAAATATGGAACTGCAACAAGCTTGTTGACTTTTCTCTTTCCAAACCCAGATGTTGCCAACTTCTTTAACTGAAAAAGCCCTGCTAATTTCCCCACCTACAGCTGTAGACTGCCAACACAGCTTCAGCATGTTATGGGGCAGAAAAGAAAAGGCTGGATTTCTGAAGGGAGCAGGAAGGGTAGATGAACCAGCTCACCACCGTTTAAGCAAGCAGTTTGTTCAGAAAACATTTTGCATGTCAATACGAACAAGCCAGTTACTCCTAGTTAACACAACCAGTCTCTCGCCTTTCCAACCTTAACCAGTCAGAAGCCACTGGGAAAAGAGGCAGGTGCCCTCTCCCCAAATAAAATGCTTGAAGCTACACTTTACGCAACCACTGTCTGCAAGAAAAACAACACCGATTTTGTAACACTTCTTATGGAGTATTTACACTTTCCAGAGTGTAAAAAATAAAAATCAATAACTAAAAGAGATTAAGCGCAAACTGATAGAAGCCTCTTTCAAACCAAATACGAGTGATGACACATGGGTTTGCACCGAGGGGATTAAATCTGTATGTATGCCTATACATTTAATGTACACTTCATACTTACTTACACATATGCATGTACACTGCCCCCCTTTTATAGAACCAGTGAATCTTTCTTATGCAGATAAATCTTGAAGGTCACTAGAGAACAAGTTTTTAGATATATACGTTGCTAGATCAGCAACTGCAATGGTAGATGTGTGGACAATTAAGGATATAACATACAGCTTGATATTCTCTGAGGCCTCTCACCTCAAACCTCCAACTGGAGTGTCATGGTTTAACCCCAGTCGGCAACTGAGCACCACACAGCTGCTCGCTCACTCCCCCCACAATGGGAAGGGGGAGAGAATCAGAAGGGAAAAAGTGAGAAAAATCGTCGGTTGAGATAAAGACAGTTTAATAGGGAAAGCAAAAGCTGTACGCGCAAGCAAAGCAAAACAAGGAATTCATTCACTACTTCCCATCGGCAGGCAGGGGTTCAGCCATCTCCAGGAAAGCAGGGCTCCATCACGCGTAACGGTTACTTGGGAAGACAAATGCCATCGCTCCAAACACCCCCCCCTCCTTCTGCTTCGCCCAGCCTTATATGCTGAGCATGACGTCATATGGTATGGAATAGCCCATTGGCCAGCTGGGCCAGCCGTCCCGGCCATGCTCCCTCCCAGCCCCCTGCGCACCTGGCAGGGCACGGGAAAATGAAAAGTCCTTGACTAGCGTAAACATTACTTAGCAACAACTAAAACATCAGTGTGTTATCACCATTATTGTCATACTACATCCAAAACACAGCACTATACCAGTTAATAGGAAGAAAATCAACTCCACCCCAGCCGAAACCAGGACATGGAGGTAAGGTGCCATGTGAAGAGTGAGAGAGGAGCAGAACCACAGCATGGGGCAGAGACCTCCACTTTTGTAAAAACTGGGAAGCAGAGGAGCCTGGGCAGCGTTCAACTCTTGCCCACCCTGTGTGACAGAGCAGGATTCGCAAGCAGGGCTCTCCCCACATCTGCTCCCAGGCTTTTGTTTGGGTGGCACGGCCACGGCTCGGCGAGAGCAGCCCTGTTTATTCTGTCGGAGCATAGTGATCAGCATGCTAATCGCTGCGGCTCTCTGCATGCCAACGTTCTCACACACAAAGCTTGCTGTCACCAGCCACACTGCAAAAAAATACAGACTTGGAAATTTAGAGGAGTCCAAATCTCCCTTTCTTCCCTGGCTGAAACTTAAGAGCCCTGGAGGGGAGCCAGGGGGAAAGGAACAGCAGTTGAGAGAGCAGAGAGCCCATAACCCAGAGAGACAGCACCACTCATGACATGAAAAGATGCTTGTAAAATTCCCCATCTGGCTTACTGTTTGCATGATAATTTTTCCAACTGCAATGTTTAGCCTTTGATGGAGACAGTTCTGGTCACTTCCAAATGGTGGGCAGAGCGATGTGTAAATCTAATAAAAATGCAAAAGCATTAAAAAATAAAGTTCCTAACAATATTTCCCAACAAAAATATACAGGACATGCAGGACACAGTAACCTAATAGGTTTAGAAAACAATCAAAGGAGGACGAACTCCGGGAATAACTAATTGCACCCATCTTTATGCCAAAAGTTCACATCCAAGTTATGATAAGCAGTAACAAAAATATCAGCCATTTGGCAGCCATGTAGTTTGGAAACTCGGTTCTTCTTTTGATGAACAAATGCCCACTTCTCAAAAAAAACAGTGTCACCACCCTATGCCTATTTTGGAACATGCTTTTATTTTGATGGTCATCATAAGAATGATGTTTGCTGACAGTCACTAACATCATCACCCAAACAATTCCTCAGAAAGCTAGTATCTTATATGTGCATAAATAACCATGCATGTCAACAAGATGCAATCAGTCAGCACTGAAAAGTCTTTGCTTCTGTTAACAATCTCATACTTTTAATTCCCAGTAGTCCTAAAAATGGCAATTTGTTTAAAGGATTAAAAAAAAAGGATTAAAAAAAAAAAGCCAACGAAGAAATTGTTTTCAGCGGACAGATATTCAGGTAAACCTGCCTAGGCTGCGTATTCCCAAGCCAAAATGTATCTCATACTACTGCAAAACTAAACTTTCCCTGATTTGCTTCAGTACAGTTGAAATTTGTATTTGTTAGTTCTATCGAGACACTGGAGAACAAAACTCCTAAGCCACTAAAAGGAGAAAGGAGTCTTACCATGAAGACCAGCTCCCAGGAAAGCTTTCTCTCTGGATTACTATACCTTGCATTGGCCAAGTCCCGGTTTCTTCAGTTCTCAAAAAATTTTGCTTAAATTTTTTGAGAGAAATTATAGTTCCATATCTACTAGCTATAACCACACAATTTTTTTAGTCACCTATTCTAAAGTGCCATTCTTTGTTGCTGTTGAAGAAACTAAAAAAGCAGAAAAAACCCAAAAAACATTTACAAGCAGCAACATATATAAAACATCCTTACCTTAAATAAGGGACTGAAAACACACACCTAATGTGCATGTCCAGCTCCTTACAACCTGGCAGAGTTAAATAGGTCATGCAAATGGGTCACACTGCAATGGCAAGGATCGCAGCGCGGCCAGCTGCCGTGCCTCAGTTAACAGGGTGGTGTCTTCACAGTGGTCTCAGAAGACACATGACCAGAATTCAGTCCCTCTGGCAGCCCCTACAAGGCACCAACACACAATTTCCTCAATACATTAAATGGCGATGATATTGCCTTTCTCTGCGCGGTTACTTGCTGCAGTTGCAGAACTGGAGTAGACAGAGGATGGGTCACTAGTTCAGCACGTCATTTCCTACAGCCCCAGGGGACCTGCAGCTGGCTCCTGCTGGCTCCTCGGTTTGAGTCCACACCACTATCCAATCAAAAATCTTCTTCTGGTTTTTGTCCTTGTACACCCAGAGAAAGAGCAAGCTTACAGATTACAGTCTAAATTTCTTTTGCAAATTTTATCTATTTTTTGTCTATAAAATTTTATATCTATAAATCTGTAATCTATAGGTATCTATAGATATTTATAAAATTTTAGCTGTGTTTTCTCTATAAAGTGACATAAACTCTAAACAGGCTGCTTACAGAAGACAAATGTTTCAGCGTGGTGACAGACAGAGGACATGAGCACAGGATACACCGATAGGTTAAACCCCAACCCTTTTCTGCTTGCCTAAGCAGAGTCCTGACAGTTACTATTAGATCAGCACTATAAGCAATGTCATTTACTTGTAAGTATTAGAAATGCAAGTTATTAATGTAAATGTTTTGTTGTGCTGAATTTCAGAACAGAAAAATTAACCAACACACAAAACATTACAAACTCTCGGGCAAAGCCAGCCACGAACCAGCAAGAAGGGCCGGGAAGGATGAACGGTGCGGCACTGACTCCCTGAGTCAGAAGGATGCTTGGAAAGGAAGGGACTGTACAGCTGCTCCTGCTCTCACAACTGCATTTCAACGCCATCACCTTTTCATCCTTTCCAGTGTGTAACCTGCACGGCTCACCTCTCAAAATCACTTTGCCAGGACAACCACCTGCAGGTAATGCAGAGAGAATGGGAGGCAGAGCAGTTACACCTTCATGAAGGTGGAGGGAGGGATAGAGGGAGGAAGAAATAATACGCTGCTCACTTGTAATCATTTTTTTTTTTGCTGTTTTTAAAAGATTGATAACCCATCTGCTATAAATATGAAAAAATGTTCACTGTATAGCATTAGGTCATTTTCCTCACACATGAAGTGGAGCACAAAATCCAGGACTCTCTAAAAAAAACCCCAGAAATTGGCAATTGTGCAGGACAGACACCCTGGAAAGCCACCACAAATTCACACAGTAGCATTGCCAACACACAAGATAGTTCAAGCTAGCGAGAATCAAATATTCACAGCAGGCAAATTCCCTCCATAGGATCTGCTGATCAGATGCAATGGCAAACAGCTTGAATTTGGCCCACTTCCATTCCTTTCATCTGGCACAATAGTATACAAAATATTCTCACTGTATCCACGCTGCAAATCGGACCTGCAGCTTATCTCTGTGGAACCATCATTTGTCAGATGTGCTACTACATGGCCTGGATGAGATATACAGATAAACTTGGGGAAAACAAAAGCAAGCCAAGCTGTATGTCTGAACAGAACGCTGAATAAAATGCCAAGTGCATGCCACTTCTGCAAGTTGGAGATATTATTAGTTGTCAGTAGCACCACGCTGTTTTGCAGGACAGCTGCAGACAAA